GCAAAGTGTCGTGATGGTGTGATGGTTTCAGTTCTTTTCGAAAAATACCCAGGAGGAGAATAGCTGGGTTGAATGGGACCTCCAATCCTAGCTTTTCTGAGAAGTCTCCACACGGATTTCCATAGCGGCTGCACCAGTCTGCACGCCCAGCAACAGTGGAGAGAGGCTCCTTTTCCCCACAGCCCCTCCAGCATTTGTTATTGGCTGGCTTCGTGATGACAGCCATTCTTTCTGGGGTGAGATGGAACCTCAGTGTTGTTCTAATTTACATTTATCTAATGACCGATGATGCCAAACATTTTTCATATATTTATTTGCTGTATTTCAAAGAATCAACAACTGGGACCTCATCTTTTTGAAAAGTTTCTGCATGTTAAAAGAAATCACCAACAGAGTAAAAAGAAAAGCCAGGAATTGGGAAAAAATTTTAGCTGACTGTCACGCAGCCAGAGGGCTTCTAAGTAGAACATATAAACACTTAAAAAAATATATCAGCCCCCCCAGATTCAAAGACCCAATCCAAAACTGGGCATCTGAGATGAATATACGCTTTTCAGATGAAGAAATACAAATGACAGTGGCTTTCCGAAGTAGAACTGTTAGGGACCCGGAAGGGGACTGGTGGGGGCGGTAGGGAAAGCCAGAGAGGCTGCACATGGTCAGTGCATGACATATGCCTGCAGGGAAGTGTTCCCACAAACCCGTTACTCTGTATGATTAGTTTTGTTAATAAAATAAATTTTTTAAAAAAGACAGCGTGCTGTGAACGGGGCTGGCTCTGTGGGCATGACGCTGGGGCAGCGGCACAGGTCTCCTGCTGGGAAGAGCCACACACGTGGTTGACTGTTCTGCTGCCAAACTGCAAGTGTTGGTGTCGTGTCTTCGAACCTGCGTCTCAGAAGCGAGTTCCAGGGCCGCGGAGGGTGGCCCGAGCGCCCGGCGCCCGCCCGAGGGGTCCGTCTCCCGCGCTGGCGCGGCTGTCTTGCGGCTCGTGTCGTGGCTTGCGCGGTGCCCAGGGGGCCGTGCCCTGCAGCGCGATGCCCGGGCTCCCGCAGGACTTCCGCTGGGTACGAGTCCGCCCCGAGCCAGCCGTGCCTCCCGTGTGTCAAGCCCGGCAAGTCTGGCTTTCCCTGCAGACTCTCTCCGGAGTCCGAAAGTATTGGCGTTCTGAGCGTCACGCTCGGCCGAGGAGCCGCGCTGTGCGGACGCAGGCCCGGCGTTGCGAGGCAGGCCGGCCGAAAGCAGCCGTGCAGAAACCCAGTGCAATCCACAGTCCTGCCCTTTCCTTTCCAGGAAACCGAAGGCGCGGTGCCTTGGGATGGAACTGCACGGCGCAGTCAAATGCGCAGCATTTCCTCGGTTTCGGTCAGAACAGGATTTGCACGCACGGATGATCTACAGAACGCGAATCGCAGCGACTCCGGGTCACGTGTACAGGTCCAGCGCTCTTGTACTTGAATTTAAAATAGCCGTGAGCCAGTATAAAAGGAGGGGGAAGATGTAGGTGACAATTTAACCTTTTAATTTTTCCTTTCCTTAGCATGATATTCAATAGCAAAAGCCCCCCTCACCCAAACAAAACCAAAAAACTCCAAAAAGAAAGTAAGACAAAGCAAGGGCAAGTTGAGAGAGCGCTTGTAGGACAGGAGACACGACGCTGTGATGCTTAAAATGACCTTCCCCCTGGTCTTTGAGCAAGAGCCCCCACATTTTCATTTTGCCCCGAGTCCTGCAAATCAAATAGCTGGTCCTGGGCTCCGCAAAGCTGGGGAGTTACTTCCTTGCAAATTTCTATCATTTGCTTCCTTGCATGACTGTTTTTTATGTATTTATTTATTCTCGAGGAACCGGGGATTGAACTCAGGCCCTTGCGCTGGCCAGGGAAGCGCTTATCTTGCATGACTTTTGGCAGAAGATTTTGTAAATCATCTACCATTTGTTTCACCAGTTCTTTGCACGTGGTGTGACGAATCATTCTGCTCTCCAAGGATTTTTATTTACTAAAATGAGGTCACACGCTAGTGAAATGAGCGGGCTGCTTTCCTGGGGTGGAAACATCCAGCAGCTAAAATGTTCATCCGCCCCAGGAAAGCGAGTGCTGTAGCGCAGGCGTCGGCGGAGTAAACGTCACCGGCCGAGTGGTTTCGTACAACCCAGGGCCAAGAGTGTTTCTACATTTTTTAGGTGGTCGAAGAAAAAAAAAAAAATCAAAAGACTATTTCATGGCAAACAAAAATTGCAACTCAAATTTCAGAGTCCCTAAAGAAAGTTTTATTGTTGCGCTTGTTGGTCTCCCGTTGCGCGCAGCTGCTTGCTGTTACAGTGATTATGTGACTTACGGCGGGTGTGCGCATACATAGCCTGAACTATTTGCTCTCCGGAATTTTACAGAAAAGGCTTCCAAACTCCACTCTAGAAAAAAGGCATTGATAGGAGGCTCATGGGGTTAAGCGCGGCTCGGCGCAGGCTTTTCCTGCTCAGGTGAGCAATGGCAGCCTAGGAGGCTCTCAGACGCCCGCGGAGTTTGAGCCGCTCTGCGTAAAATGCGAGGCGTGCGCCGCCTAGCGGTGGAGCCCTTTTCCTGCCCACAGGGGCTTCGCTCCTACAAACAGTAATTCTTATTTGGAACCAGCAACAGAAACGTCCCACGGTGCTGGGGACAAAATTATTTTCAGTTTCTTTCCTTCTCAGGACATGCTTGCGGCACACAGTAATTACACCCGCCGGGAGGAATCGCTACACACCGCCGAGCTCTTAATGGTCCTTATTTCTCCCGGTTCCCTCCAGCCCTGCAGACCACAGCCGGCTCCCAGGCCGGCCTGCGCAGGCACGTGGGACCCAAACGCGACGCCCAGCGAGGGCTTCACATTTCGACGTCCCCGTGTGTTGGGCTTGCCTACACTATTTAAAACTAGAATGACAGTATCTCGCCAAGGAAAAGGCAAATCACAAGGAATCGTTGACCAGACCTCAGTGAGCAGAAGCGTGTATTTATCAACTTTTAAAAATTTATTTGGAAACAAACACCCAGCATCTCAGAGAAGTTATGCTGGCTCAGAAATTTATCTTCAGACGTAGGAAGTGTTTCTATTCGGATATGTACGATGATCCAGGGTGCTGGGTCCTCCCTAAATCCCTCTTCTCCCTGACAGGCAGCTAGAAGGGGGGCCTCTGCCTCTGGCCTGTCTTGCTGTTGGGCAGTTTCAGCGTCTTTTCCTCGATGGAGTGAACCCTGGCCGAGAGGACTTTGCCATTTTGATCCAGCTCTTCAACCACCGTCTTTACCAGTGTGGTTTTGGATAAATCTAGAAGACATATGAACATATCTATGCAAAGAGATGAAGTGGTAAAGAATCCCACAGCTGGTTATTAATATACCAGGCATGATTGTGGGGGAGGGAGGAAGTATAGATTTATAACAACAATTTGGAATAACTGGATAAAACCCAAAACATACTTTCAGCTCAGAGCGCTTGAATTAAAATCACAGAAGGACAGGCCATCATCGTATATGATGGCCGTGATTGTGACAGTGTTTTCTGTGACAGAAACAGCAGCTGGATTTTATTACCTTTAGATGAACTTCCTGGGCTTCCCAATCCAACGCCTTTTAATTTGGAGCATGACCTGCACAGAACAGAACGCTCATCTTTTACATCTGTATTCTATCGCTCCAAAAATATCCATTAAGTTGATGAGCTACATGACCTTTGTGTGCCAACAACAGAGCTTATTTTGTTATGGGGAAAAATATTAAGAGTTTTAAGATTTTTGCAGAAGCTGGGAATGATGAGGTGCTATCTAAAGAGAAGACATGGAAAAAAAATCATTCTTATTTGATTGTTTTAAACCCAAGAATTTAAAACTTAAGAAATGTATATATCTGACGGTATTTTTTTCTTGGCCCCCTCAGGATGCCTGAAGGGCAGGTCTGGTAAGGCATGAGGATCGGGGGATTGAACCACAGAATTCTGAGCCTGACTGCCTTGCTTAAGCAGGCACTTAAACAACTGAGCTAATGGGCAGGAGAAATGTATATATCTGATATTTAAGATCGACATAAAACTCAAGGGCTGGAGGGCTAGCCCAGCAGACTAAGTGCCTGCTTAGCAAGTGCAGGGACCTGGGCTCGATCCCCAGCACCACACGCTGCGCTGGCCTGCCCCTGGGCACACTGAGCTGGTGACCGAGTACTGGTGTGGTGGCACATGCCTGTAGCCCTAGCACTGGGGAGGCTGAAAACAGGAGGGTCACTCTGAGTCTCATCTGCATAGTGGGATCCTGTATCAAATGCATAAAATTAAAAAACAAAACAAAATCCCTTAAGCTCACACATGCTGGGGCTGGCTCAGAGGACGTTTATTTCAGGGCGGCAGTGATGTTTGGAATCAGCTGAAAGGATAAAGCCTGGGAGTGGCCCCAAGAGAACCGGGATGTCGCAGTGACTGACAGAGACAGTGCATGGGTTCTGCGTAGGGGTCCCTGAGGCATCCTGTGACGTATGAAGCGGTGACCCCAGAGGTCAGAGTGGGAAGAAAAGAAGTCATGGAGGTGTGGGGGAGGGGATGGCGACAGCGGGGCTCCTCTGGCTCCACTCACCCGTCGTCTCCGTCGATGAGGCGGCAGTAGGTCTCGATCTCCTTCTCCAGGTGCACCTTGAGGTCCAGCAGCTGCCCGTACTCCAGCTTCTGGCCTTCGGTCTCCGTCCGCACCTGGTGCAGCTGCTCCTCCAGGGCCCCGACCTGCGCCTGGATCTGGGCCAGCTGCGAGCAGTAGCTGCCCTCGGTCTCGCTCAGCGAGCACTCCAGGGAGTGTTTCTGAGGACGGCAAAGGTGCAGCATGAGGCGGGGTCCACCTGAGCACTTCGGGGGCCAGGGTTTCTCAGCGAATGGCAGCGCCACTGCTCCCCGGGCAAGTTTTGGAGATGGATGGGGTTTGACACAGTAAAAGGGGCTGTAGGGGCTAGCACTGCCTAGGTGGTGGTCAGGCTGCCGGACGACCTGCCAGGGGACAAGTGACCCTTTGTCCTCAAGAGCTTTCAAGGTCCCAGGGGCAGTCATCACATTTCAGTAACAGTTCCAACGAGAGGGGAACACAGTAAGAATCAATATGCAAAAACATTTTTAAGCCGGGGAGATGGCTCAGTAGGATAAGCGCTTCCCTGGCAAGCGCAAGGACCTGAGTTCAATCCCCGGTTCCGAAAAAAAAAAAAAAAACAAAAAACAAAAAACAAAAAACAAAAACATTTTTAAATTGCCTGTTTACTTCTGGGTTGCCCGCTGTGCTTCAGTCCCACCCGGCTGGGCCCTCTGTGTTTGCGTGCGCAATGAAATCGGACACACGCGTGCAAAGGACTGGTTTTCGCACCGCTCTCAGAATAGCCTCCTCTTCCGCAGTCCGCGATTTGTCTGGGCACGAGGTCCCTGCTCCAGTGAAAGCTACTCCCTCCCCGCTTGTCGTGTCTGAATAAATCCGCCCAGCCCCTACTTCCCCCGATGTTAGCAATCATCAGCATAGCCAGCCCTGTCCTCTGCACTTCCACTTCACGCTCCTTTTGGCCAGAGCAGCTCCTGACCCTACATCAACACAAAGGAGACATGTATCGAAAGAAGACTCGAGACTCCCCCACGTTTCTAGGGTGTCTGGGCCTAAGTGTTCACATAGTAAAAGAAATTATTTGCAAACACTTTCCCTTTTTAAAAGCTGCAGTGGTGACATCCTATTTTTAAAATATTTTTTTGTGTTGCTAAATATAGTCTGTACTGATTTCATTCTAGAATTGCAGAGAGGCAGTTAGGAGAGAGCCACCATCCTTGGCGGACACTGGGTCCTAGAGTTGGTGAGGGCCAGACCAGACGACCAAGGCTGACCACGTAGGATTCTGGCCTTGGCTGAGCCTTGCATCAGGTGAGGGTGCTTGGTGTTTAAGGGGACGGGACCCAGCGCTGGGCGCCGCACAGCTGTGATTTCTCTGACCGTAGGCCTTCGCGCAAGTGCACATGGCATCAGCGGCTCTGCGCCCGCCCGCTCTCTTCTCTCAGAGCACCTTCCCGCCTCCACAAAGCCTGCCTTTCTGCTAAGCGTGTGCAGCAAAGTTGGACTACGGGGAAGATAGGAAAACATCTCCTGAGCCTTTCGGAATCAGGATGTGGGCTGCTGTCACCCTACCGTGGCCAGGAGGGACCTCAGCTCGATCTCCTGCGTCTGCAGTGTGCGCTTCAGCTCTGTCACTTGGGTCCTGGCCCGCATGGCCTCGCCCGCATCTTGGGACATCTGCTGCTGCAGCAAGGCACTCTGCAAGGTGCAGGTGGAGTCAGGCATGCGTACTTCCCCAGCACCTGGGCAGCACTTGGGCAGCACCTGGGTGACGCCGGGCCAGCACCTGGGCAGCACCTGGGGACACCTGGCAGGTGAGCACGCCCTGCCCCATCCCCCATGGCTTTACCTTCGCACTGAACCAGGCCTCCGCGTCCCTGCGGTTCTGCTCCGCCAGCGCCTCGTACTCGGCCCGCATGTTGCTCAGCAGCACCGTGAGGTCCACGCTGGGGGCCGCGTTCATCTCCACGTTCACGTTGCCCCCAGCTGCGCACTGCAGAGTCTTCATTTCCTGCAGGGGATGCGCAGAGCGTGACCTGGGGACCTCGGTGACATCCACACGCAGTCTGCACTTTCCGAGGTGTTGGTTTATCTTTCAAAGTTGTGAATAACATGTGCTCCCTGGCTTTTAGAGTTGACTCACCCACATGTGTAAATACCGTATCGTCTCCCTCGCATGAGAACTCAAAAGAAGAGTTACAAATAGAAAAGTGTAACACAATTAAAAGGAAAGCGAGAACTTGAGGATTGGACAATGAGGAGAGGGCAAGGAGAAGAGCCAGGAAACATGACGGGAGCAAAGCCATGCATTTGTATGCACGAGATGGGTGGGGCAGTGACCCTCGGGGACATCAGCAGGTTTCTGAAACTAGCAGTTAACTGGCAGGATTGTCACCCTGACTAACTACATATGCTGCTCCCTGTGAACCAAGCAGCTGCACTGAAGACAGCAATGTGCTGCAACAGAAGGGTCACACTTGGAATGCCTGTCATTCTGGTCTTCTACATACGTACTTCTTGTCATGGCATACCAGTTATTACCATACTGTCTCTCAAGTAAAAGTTTTTTTTAAAGGGTAATAAATAAAAAAAGCACAAGAAAAAAAAATGTCACAGGACTGTTCTGCTACAATGCTGTAGTTAGATTTCTAAATTTCTGTGTAAAAATATGTGTTTATTCCTAGTTTAAAAATTTTTTTTTCTTCCTATTCTGTAGGGACTTGAAGTTCAACATATCAATACTGGATGGAAAATACCTGTTCCATGTTATGCCCAAGATGTTTGATATTTAGACAGATAGTTAGGGTAAACCGAACTGCATATGTTGCAGGGTAATAATAAGCTTCTCTTCTGGAGGGTTAACAACCTAAGTTTGCAGATCAAAAATTGGAGAAACGGAAGGGCTGCAAGGTCAGCCAACATTTTGGCCCTAGCCTTCAAGGTCAGTGAAGATTCGGGACATAGGAGAACCTGGACTGTAACATCATGTAACTCAGTTGTGCCCCAAATTTTCTGATCAAGGAGATTATGGAGCCACAGAGCAATGTGATTGATGATGTACAGTGTGCCTAAGGTGAGTCACATGGAGGGAAAACATTCTCTCAGGCTTTTACAGAGAGCAAATTGGTCAAGCAATGGCCATGATTCATCCACATGGCTGACACCGACAAAGGATCTACAAAGTGTGGTACAGGGTTACAGGATAAATCCTGAGGATACTTGACTGACCTTATCAGATACAAAAGATACATTTCTTGTTACATAGGTCTTGCTTTCTCTTGGTCTCAACCATCCAGTAGAAAAGTATAAAAATGAGGTATATAAAGTAAAGCCATATTAATATGCTGAGCTGTGAAAGGCTCAAGTCAACAACTTCTGTGGATAACCCACTACTACTGTGGGGTGCTAGACTGTGCTGGATTGTTTTGCTGAATTCATGCACCTATAGTATTTAGATGCCAATGGAATATCCATTTCTGACAGGACTAAACAAAAAAAGGGGATACAAAGGAAGAATCCTGTTGTATTTGTATATACAGAATAGTTAGGATAGATATACAGTTATTTTCGCTTAATTCAACAAGAAGAAAGATTTGTACTAATAGTATTTGGACAGGATATCCTGTCTGCTTCTTGTACTATGGATAACCACTAAGAAGATAGCAATGTACAATGTATTAATTATTGAAACTATTCTATTAATCAGCTTTGAAAAAAAATAGAATTGACTCATGGACCCACACGTCACCCATCACCCATCAATTAGCTAGTTCTTCCTTTAAAAGACCCCAGCCACCTCCCCCACTACAAACAGTCACAGTGTCCCAAGCCTATGTTCTCATTGCTTTCTGGCTACGAAGACCAGAGTGCTGTTCTATACAGAATGGCTTATTAAATGTCACTTTGGAGAGGACAGAGAAGGAAACAGAATGTGTCAGGGCCAGCAGCAGGATTTGAATGAGCAAAACACTGTGGCGAGACACTTCCCACACTCCTGCCCTGTGCTGATTCATCTCCTTGAGGTCGGTGTGGCTTACACATGGGGAAACTGAGGCACAGGCGTGTGAAGAGGATCCCTGAGTTCTTAGTGTGACTGGATAGTGCAGGATTGAGCTCACAGCCTCTGTTCCCTCCCGAGGCTCTGTTCTTCCCACCTGTGCTCTGTAACCTCTCTGGGTGAGGCTTCATCTGGGTCAGATTGGTAATCTGCCCCACCTGGTTAGAAAATGGATTTCTTGGCAAATAAACAAACCAAGGTCCTGAACTTGGTTCCTTGGGTCACCAGCCTTTGTGTTCTAACTGCTACAGGAGGACTGACATCTCTGCTTTCTTCAACCTCCTTTTGTGGCCCTAAATTGATGACCTTCTTCAGTGTCCAAAGCGCAAAGATGTACATTGCCCAAGAACCACACCTCTTCTTCCACACTTTGTGATTTTGTGTAGGAGGCCAGGTGTAGACAAGTGCTTGTTGCTGCCCATGTTTTGAGATCAGCTGGCTCGAAGTTATCCTAGGGACTGGGTACAGGGTGTGGGGTGCTGGGGTACTTTGCAGGAACGCTGAGGCATGCCTGGCCTTTTGCTCTTAGTCTCAGTGCTGTCCTTTTGCAGCTGGTATCTTCCTTCCTTTCTCCCTTCTTCCCTTCCTTCCTCCCTCCTGCCTTCCCTTCCTCCCTCTCTTCCTTCCATACTGGGGGTTGAACACAGGGCTTTTGAACTGAGCTATCTCCTAGTCTTTATTATTTTTAATTCTGAGACAAAGTGTCACTGAGTCACTACGTTCTCCAGGTTGGGCTGGAACTCATGATCCTCCTGCCTCAGCCTCCAGAGTGCCCGGGATTTTCTGTAGTGTGTGGCCTGCCTTTGCTGTCCTGCTGATCTTCTCTGGTGGTCTAACTCCTCAGTACTCTGTTCTGCATCCCTGCCCTCTCCTCCCTTCTTTTTCTTCTCTAATTTTCCCATTTCTTTTTCTCTTAGTGTCCTTATTGGGAACAACTGGATTTGGTGCTGCTGCCATTTTTATTATTACTATTTTTAAAAATTTTATTTATTGATATAGGGTCTTATTACACAGCTCAGCCTCATGGCGATCCTCCTGTCTCAGCTTCACCAGTGCTGGGATTCCAGGCATATGCCATCATGCCTGGTTTTGGGCCGGCATGGTATGCCCAGGTTTCTGGGACTAGCAGGGCATGGGATACTGGGGATCAAATTTGAGTCTTCGCACTTGCCAGGCAGGCAATCAGATCGCCGAGCTATCTCCCCAGTTGCCAGGCAGGCAATCAGATCACCGAGCTATCTCCCCAGTTGCCAGGCAGGCAATCAGATCGCCGAGCTATCTCCCCAGCCCTTTGCTGCCATTTTTAAACCAATAGTTCCCCCTCCACCCCTTAGGGTGTTCTTTGGAAATTTCCACCCATTGTTTTGGGACTTTTACAAATACATTTAGATAGACCTATCAGTCACCTGCCTATCACCTATCTTTCCATCTACTATTCTGTCTGTCTTTCTGTCTATCCATCTATTTATCCATTTAGGAACAGATATTTGGGGGTGCAGTAAAGCTTTCTATGAAGTGTCACATACTGGGTTGTAATTGTGCAGTGTTCCACGCTAAGCTAAACCCAGGCTCGCAGAGTAGGGGAAGGTACTGTGCTTTCTCGGTTGGAAAGGTCTTTTGTGAGTGCTCTGACCTCAAGGTGGGCTTATATGGATGAAATAGACATGATCTAGCAGTTGTGTTCATGCAGGACATAGATGGTATTTTCAAGTGGCTAAAAAATGGAAGGATATAGATCAAATTGTTGCCATTTACCACCTTGGAACATGGGACCAGAAAGCAGATGGAGAGAAAGGGAATTCTTTCTGTCCATCCCTCGGCATGCGTGAGTCACCGAGCACGAGTCGCTACTGTACTTTACGCCCTCCCTGCAGGTGCAGTGTGCTGAACTCCTGCGTCTCTGTGACAGCAAATGCAGCTCTCCTACCTCTTCGTGGTTCCTCCTGAGGTAGGTCACCTCCTCGCTCAGGGACTCGTGCTGCAGCTCCTGGCCCGTCCTGCACAGTGCCAGCTCCTCCAGGACACGCTGCAGCCCATTGATGTCAGCCTCTACGTTTTGGTGCAAGGTGAGCTCATTTTCATACCTCGGGGGAGCACACAATGAATTTCAGCGTGAGGTAGCCTCCTTCAAAAGTGGGCAAAGAAAATCTCAGTGGGTTTAAACTGAAGGCCAGAAATGGAACTGCACTAAATAACCATACAGAGAACCACCTCCCCCACCTTTTCTCCAAGTTCTGCTCAGGATAATCCACAATTATTTAATCACAGAAATTGCAACAACACATCCCAGGGAAATAAAACTATACCACTTCTTGGTCTGCTTTGCCCTGGCACTGCATGGACAGGCAGAAGGAAGGGTAGCTGTTATTTGTTCTAAACTGTAGTAAGTATACATCAAGTATAAGCCCAATCGATTACAGTATTATGACATAAATCCTTCGCTTCCTTTCCTCTTTGAAATGGTAGTTTATTCTTGGGATGAAATCAGAAGTCTGCTTCGCTAGTTTTCTGGAGCATAATTATTTCCCTTCACCTACTTGAGCCGGAAGTCATCAGCGGCTAGTCTGGCGTTATCGATCTGCAGAATGACATTGGCGTTAGCAGCAGTTGACAAGATAATCTGGAAAACCCGGGGAGAGAGCACAACAAGTAAGTTTTCTGCTATTACCTAGTCTTTCAGGAAATGAAAATGTGAGTGCTCTATGAAAAACTCCAAATAGCTCAGCAGATTACAGCGCCTGCAAGCAGGTGCAGCGGCCAGGGGTCTGATCCCCAGGCCTGCCCTGCCGGCCCGCCCCTGGGGCGCGCTGAGATGGCTGTTGAGACTGGGCATGGTGGTGCTCTCCTGTAATCTTAACGCTTGGGAGGCTGTAAACAGGCAGATCACTACGAGTCTAATCTAGTAATGAGACCCTGAACCCCCTGTAGACCCTTCCCTAAAATAATAAATAAATAAATGGCTTTAGAGCCAGGGGAGGTGGCTTACAGCTGTAATCCCAGCACTTGAGAAGCTGAGGCAGGAGGATTGCCCTAAGTTTGAGGTCAGCCTGGGCTCCATAGTGAGCTCTAGGCTAGCCTGGGATGCATAGTAGACCCCGTCTCAACTCCTCCAGAAAGTTTTATTTATTCTTAACTTTTTTTATTTATGTATTTGGTCTCAAAATACATAAATAAATACTTAACTTTTTTTATTTATGTATTTGGACCGAGTCTCAAAACAGCTCAGGGGCAGGGCCAGTGAGGCATGTGGGACCGGGGATGGAACCCTGGTCCCTGCGCTTGCCAAAGCAGGCGCTTACTCTGCTGAGCTATCTCGCCGGCCCAATAGTTTCTCACCTATTATCATATTTCAAAATAAATAATTGAATGAACAGCATGTTCGCTACAATAAGCCAAGAATCCAAGTGTCTGTTTTGAGTGATGGGAAGAGTTGTTTAGTCGGGTGCATCATGAGAACAGGCCACAGAGGCAGCCACGAAGCGTCTCCCGCTGTGGCCCTAGCCCTTTCCCGCTCGGTCCCCAGTCTGTGCTTGCTCACCTTCGCCCTGAGGTCCTCGATGGTCAGGTGATAGTCGCTGTAGTCGCCGTCCAGTCCGCAGCTCGATCCAGGGGGGCCGTATCTGTCACGCCAGGACTCGATTTTCCTCTCCAGGCCCACGTTGGCGGCCTGCAGCGCGCGCGCTGTGCAGGTAGGCGGCCAGGCGGTCGTTGAGGCTCTGCATGGCCGCCTTCTCGTTGCCCGGCAGCAGGCCGCCCTCGCTTCCCGCGGAGCCCACGGCACGGGCCCGGCCGCCTGCCAAGGCGCAGCGAAGCCCGCTTGCAAGGGCGGCGTTTCCGGAGAGCAAGCCCGGGAGCCTCGGTGCACCGGAGAGCCGGAGAGGCATGGGGACGCCAGAAACGCTGGGGGCAGGCGGAGGGAGCCTCGGAGGGGCAGGGCCCGCAGGGAGGGCTCGCGGAGCTTTTATACGCCGCTGAGGGGGCGTCTCGTGGTGGCTTAGAGGTGCCGGAATAAAAAAAATGGGCATCGTTTAGATTAGCATGAATTACATTTAATTGGGTGATTTAAAAAATAATGAATGTCTAACATCCCTGGGTATTGCTTCGGGGTGTTTGTTATCTTACATAAAGCAGGGCTTGCTCGATGTTAAGCGCATTAATTCAACTTCTAATTTTGAGTGAGTAATCCTGGACTTTCATCTGGACCCTACGAGCACACCATCATTATCTGGCGAGGGTATTATCAAGTGGTAAAGGGTAAGGGGTAAGGGGTAAGGCTGTGGTAGGGCACCATTGGCTGCAGCAGGGTCCCAGTTACTGCTGAGTTACGCGAGAGGCAACTAACCACAGAAACAGACATTTTTATTCCATGAAAGCAAAAAAAAAAAGTGTTATTAATATATATATATATATATATATATATTTTTTTTTTTTCCTGGTAACGTCTCTGTTCTTACCACAATCACATCTACTACTTATTATGTTGGACAATGACACAGATATTGCTGTAATCTCACCTAAAATGCCTAGCTGCTATGCCTGGTGCTGTGTATTAAGCACAAAAAATGAAAAAAGAAAGATCTGGTGCTAAAGAAATATAGAGGTGTAAAGGTATGATCAACCTCTTTAAGAAATCTATTTTTTGATCTAGCCGGGCCTGGCCGTATGGTAGTCTAAGCGAACAGTACGAAGTGAGAAGCAGAGAATGTAACCAGGTGGAAGTGAAACAGGAAGCCCAATGACGGGCTAGACAGACAGCCCGGGAGGGAAGGACAGGACGAAGAGAAGAGAAGAGGGACTCGAGAGGACCTGGGCGGTGATGGATACCAGTGAGCAAGGACCAGTGGTGACGACCGATTGGTAATTGACCTCAGAGGCTGCTAGTTTATCATGATAACTGGGGTGCGGGCAGCTTAGTTTTGGACCAGCTGGGTTTGGGAGCTGGAGGGTTGGCCCAGGTGAAAGTGACTCTGGCAGGAGTGGGTGTGGAGGAGGCACACACTGGGAAAATGTCAGCCAAACTGAGTAAAGGGACTGACTGTCAAGGAGAAGCAAGGGCGCAGCTGTCCTTTACAGTGACATCCAGCTGAGAATGGGAGGTGATGCTGGTGCAGTAAGAGAGGATGGGGGTGGGACTGACACAGGTTCAGGAATTTTAAGATAAATTCAAAAGGAAGAAAAAGTTTCTGGTACTTGTGAGAGACAACTGAAGCAATCGTCCTCTATTCACAGAGAAGGAAAAGTGACAGAGGAGAAAGCCAAGCTGATCATTGGGCATCTTCCCAGGGCCACGATCTGGGCAAGACTGTGAGCAAGAAGTTGACCAAGGCAAACGATGTCCCTGGCCAGGCTTAGCAAGGGCCCTTGGCCACACCACAGGGTGGCAGAGGAAGGGACCAGGAAATGAGTGCATCAGCAGGGGCCAGTGCAGGTTGGCCTGGGCTTAACACAGCCCACTCTTTCACCAGCCAGCCAGGGTCCCGCAAGCAAAAACTACGTTAACCCTTTGCAAGGGGAGCATACCTGTGAAGTAGCCATCTCCCACGAGGCCCACCTCCTCAAGTAATATTACTCCTACTACTTCCTATCATTATTATTCATTTGAATTATTTATTTTGAAATAACAATTAGGCCACTAATTGGTGCAGCACGCCTACATTTTCCTATTTAAATGTTTCCAAAGGAACATTTTACAAGAGGAAAATAAAAATATATTTATATTTGAAAATTGCTAAGAGAGTAGATTTTAAGTGTCCACACCAGAAAAAAAAAAGGTTGTATGGTTTGTGCGAAGCAGCATACACAGATTTGACGAAATTATGCTCTATACCACAGACATACACAAGTTTTGTCGAGAAGAGCTGTCCCCCATACTTGTCCTCTGCTCTGTTTCCACCAGGGGGCAGTCCTCGCCTTCAAATGGAAGAAGCTCAGGGTTGAATCTTAGCCTGGGCCCTGTGTAAGCTCACCTGGAAGTTGCTTAAACTCCTGAGAAAAAGCAAGCCCAGAATTTATTTTTTTGTGGGTTCAGAGCAAAAGGCATATAAAGGCAAGGTTGCCTTTCGTTGACAGGGCGTTGGAAGATTCCACGGGGTTTCCTCATTTGGACCTTTGAAGAGCGAGGCTTCCCCCTCTCCCTTTAAAGATAAAGAAATGGAGGAAAAGAGGTTCAAGGATACCAACGTAAACCAGGGAATTAAGCCCAGACTGGGCCTTGTGACTCAGTGTGGTGGCTCTTTTAATAATGCAAATTCCTCACGGATGCAATGCATAAACACCTTTCTTATGAAATGCTTCTCAGAAGTTCAAGTTAATAGAATCAAAACATTAGTTCCAGATATGCGGTTCATCAAATGTCACTATGCATTCAAGGAACATCTAATGAGCACCTACTGTATGCCAGTCACTGCTGGTAGCAAGGGACAGAGAAGGACGAGGCAGATGCCTTCTCGAGTCATGGGGACTTTCTGCTTAGTGGGGAGATGGACCCTCAGTAGATAACTGTGACATTATAAATTGCTTTGAAAATTAGGGAAGAAAAGGACATGGAACTGTTAGGGGAGGTCGCAGTCTAGGTTGGGTGGTCCTTTTGGAGACGCGACATTAAGCAAACCCTAGAAAGATGAGAAAGTAATTGCTCAGGCGAAGGAGCAGAGGGTCACTCTGGGAGGCAAATGATTCCATCTGGAAGGAGGAGGCGGGTTCATCGCGTATCATATCGACTGCAATGTACTCAGCCTGGGGAGCTGACCGGGAAAACGAGGCTCGGTTCAGGTCAGAATTGCAGAGATCCGAGAGCGTAGCCCTGGCGTCTGCATGGCTGTGGGGAGGGCTTCATGCTGAGGCTCCTGGGGAGGCCCAGGGGTAGACCCCACAGCGAGACGCGAGGCCAGGGGAGGTGGTGTGCTGCGATTGCAACCACTGTGGGGAACTAACTGGGGTCCCTGCCCAAGGCCCTGTCCCTGGGGACCTCACCAACTCCCTCTGGGTCCCCTCACTTTCCCCATGGCCACCCTGGGGACCAGGATTCCCACACGCAAACCTCACCTTCCATCCACGTCATGGCTGGAGGGAGCAGCACAGGGCCTGCCAGGGGCTGAAGAGGCCTGGCCATTGGGGCTGCCTGGGAAGGGATCAACTGGGGCACCTGAGGGATTTTGACTTTTGTCCTATGCAGAAAGAAGAGCCACCAAGAGATCCAAAGAGAAGATTGATGTTAATTTAATTTAATTTA